CAGGTCGTCCAACTAGACCACCCCTTCGACCCTTCGGCCCCTCCGGCAACAACTCCTGCAGGAATCCTGGAATATGCAAGGCCTTACTATGCATAAATTCTTACTACAAGAAGAGAGGAAGATACGGTGGATACAGACCTAGCAGGAGAGATTGACATGTGGCAAGACACGACAGTGTTACTATCACTGGTGCAGAGACTGGCTTTAGACAGACCGGTAACCGGGGAGGAAGTGCAACAGACACTCAAGGAGATGGCATCAGGGAAGTGCCCGGGAAGGGATGGCCTATTGTAGAGTTTACAGGGCTTGCTGGTATGCAATGGGGACTGCAATGCATGAAGTATTCAATGAACTCCTAGAGGGAGGCAAGTTGGGACAATGCATGACACACGGGGTGATCTCAACGCTGTTCAAAAAAGGTGACAAGGCCAATGCACGCAACTACCGCCCGATCTCTGTTCTAAATATCAGTTACAAGATTTTGCCCAAGACGTTGGCGCAGAGATTAGGAAGGTGTCTCCCAAAATTGGTGGGCAGGGATCAAGGGGCCTTTGTACAGGGGCGCTCCATTTTTGTGAACATTCTTACAGCAATCGAATGCATAGAAGAGATAAGAGAAGGGGAGATGGATATGGTCGTCCTGTTGCCGGACATGGAAAAGGCCTAGTATGACAGAGTCGGATGGTCTTTTGTAAGTACAACTTTACGAAGGATGAATTTTGGCCAAGGATTCTGTCGCTGGGTTATAACACTATATACGATGGCCACATCCTCAGTACAGATCAACGGTCACCTTTCTTCCCCCTTCAAGCTGACGAGATCGCTGAGGCAGGGTTGTCCCTTAGCCCCGCTACTGTTTGTACTACAACTGGAGGTCCCACTGAACAGAATCCGGAAGCATCCAACCATTCGAGGTCTACAAGTGTCTGAGTCAAAGGAGTGTCGGTCAAAGGCCTTAGCAGATGACCTATTCATCGTGTCAGAGAACTCCGAAGCCTCACTAGGTGCTGTCAAGGGAGTCCTAATGGAGTACTCTCAGTTGTCAGAAGCCTTGGTCAATTGGAACAAGTCGGTCTACCTGCTGCCAGCTGACCGTCAGCTACGAGTGGAGTGGGGCATGCAGCGAGTAGATCCGGTAGCTGGGGAACGCTTCTTGGGAGTGTTAGTGAGCACACAGACAATTGGAGTAGCACAAGGCGCAGTGATCCACCAAAGAGTAGAGGCGAGGCTTGGAGGATGGAGTTCGACTGGTCACCTGTCCCTGTTCGGCCGAGCCATGGTAATCAATGTGGCCCTGTTCTCCTTAATTTGGTTTATTGGAACGGTAAGGGAAATCACGATACCTACTTTGACCAGCATCAAGAGACTGTCTTCAAGATTCCTCTGGAAACCCAGAGGGAGAAAGGACGAGGGGTTTTTGGTGAAGGTGGCATGGGACTTGATCACCTACCCAAAAGAGCAAGGCGGTCTAGGTCTGATGGACCCACAGAGGAGAAACCAGGCAATGCTCCGAGGATGGATATCCAAGATTGCAATGGCAGACGAGAAGGAAGATTGGATCTTGCTAGCTGAAGTGAGAATGACAGCTATCCAGAAGAGAAGATGTGTGGGTGTGTTTCTTCGTGAAATCCTTCATGAAGAAACGACTTACCTCATAATTCTTGGAAGCGGTGCGACAGGTTTGGATAAAGCACACTCCAGAAGAAAGGTCCCCCCCACTAACGAAGGATGAAGTCCTCCAACAATGCTTGTTTGAAAACCCATGGGTCATGAATGAAGAGGGTACGCAGTTCTCGGCTGGCACAAAACCTGCCACCTTCGGAAGGGCATGGATCAGAAGAGGGATCTCTAAAGTGGCGGATCTGTGGTCGCAGCTGCTAGGCACCTGGAAACCATTTGAAGAGATCCAAGCTGCACTACAAGGCCTGAGGGCCGTTGAAGCGCACTGGAGGACAATAATAGGAGCAATGCCGACTCACTAGACTCAATTGCTGGGACCAGAGGGCCTAGATCCAATAGGAACGTGGTATCTCCCAGCCCAACCAAAGGGTAATGGCAATGTGGTATGGAAGCTCCAGGGGCTGACACAGTGGGGATACAGAGAGGTCCAGAGTTGGCGAGTGGACAGGTTGTCGGGAGACTTACAGGTGCAAGGAGAGGAGGTGATTGGACAGTGGAGGAATCCGGCACAGATCAGAGTGCTGGAACACAGAGATCAACAAGGAGAGATTGAGAAGGCAAGATGGGTGGGACAGGTACCACTGAACCAACTATGTATCGATCCTAAGGCTTGGAGATGGTCCGGAGGCAAGCTTGATTTGACAAATTACACGGTGGGGGAATCATACAAACGAACAGGTGGCAAGGTAAGGTCTCCTATGGCCACAACAATCAGCAGATGGGGGACAATCCTTTCTGAAAATCTACACGAGTGGGCAGAAGACTTTGAGAAGCTATGGAGTATCCTGTTAGATCTACCATATGTCAAGCAGGCTGGCCTGCTATGGATGTTGTCCCTGCTTGTGACCCCATCAGCAGTTTGGCTAAATGGTCGTGGTGCACCAGTCCCCATGGGATGTACCAGATGTACGTGGCCCTTTGAGTCCACAAAGCATCTCTGGTGGGACTGCCCTGCTTCGAGGAGAATTTGGAATTGGTGGGCCTATCACTGGTCTCAAATGGGGGGACGGGATGTGGAGTGGGATGAGAGGTGGGTCCTGCTGGGATTTGTTAAGGAGGAGGACACTGGGAAGAGAGGATGGTCCTAGGTGGCACATGTGGCCAGAGCAGCAATCTGCTCAGTCATCTGGGCAGATAGGAACAGATCCAGGTTTGAAGGTAGACCTTACTCGGATGTGGAGATAAAGTCGACCGTCAAACGCTTGCTGAGATAGGCAATCTGGGTGGACTGGCGGAGAAAGGCAAAATGCGGGAAAGCGCCAAGGCGATTGTTGTGGTGGTTCCTCAAAACTTGGACGCTCAACAATCGACTGGCTAGGGTTCACAGAACAAGAGGGTTGGTGATCACCAAGTGGTTGTGCAACTAGGGTCATAGGGGGGACATGGAGAGTGCCGCCAGAACTCTCGTTCGGAGCAAAGTCGCTCCTTTTTCCTGTTCTCCCCCCTTCTTTAGTTTAGAGTTTCTCTTGTTTGATCGGTTTTATTGGCCTGGTGCAGCACTTTACACTGTACGAGGACACTCGGTAACTTCAGGTCGCTGTAGACCTTTAGTGGGGTAGGGAGGGAGAGTGTTAGGGGATACAGGAGCACAAATGCTCCAACTGGTCGGGGTAGGCCGGTGTCAGGCCGGTTGTAGGCCTGTGGAAGTAGTATAGGAATCATAGTCTTCATGGATAGGCAAGGCGATATGAGGAAAATTGAACCCTGTCTTTTAGGTTATCTGAGAAGTAGGTAGTTCTAACTAGACAAGACCTGTTTATGTTGGTAAGTGGGAAGCAAGTATGATTGATCTCGTTTGGCAAAGGTATTGGGTCCTAGGTTCCGCCTGGACCGTTTTGGTAGGTAGTTTAAGGTGTTCCAATCATGTGAGCTAAACCGGCTGATGCTGTCGGGATAACTTCCGGGTTGAATTGTGAGGTCCCGGACCTCGTAAATTTTCTTCATATATAATGATAAATCACGGTTTTTAGAAAAGAAAAAAAAAGAAAAAAAAAAAGAAATCGGACCGAGTGACTGCACCACTAGGCATGCGCTAGCGCTAACCTGCGCCACGAACCGGCCAGCGAGGCCCGACCGCACTTCGTGGATGGGCTGTGGTGTGGCAGCCATAGCAGCCCCTGGTCATCTCTGTGCCCGCCTGGTTGTACTATCCAGGCGATGGTGAATTGCCACCTTGCATGACGGGAGACAGTACGTCGGCGTGTACTGTTTGATGATCTTTTGGTGCATTTTCTATTGAGTAGACGTTTCATTGGGGGTGCTGGTTTTGAAGATATACCGTGATCGAAGATGGCGTCAATACCCAGTCTACAATGTGACATTGATCAGTGGTTGTTAACATTGGAGAAAGGCCGTCAACAGTTACAAGATCTGGTGGGAGTTCTGTCTATCTCAGCCAAGGCTTGGCCGGAGGTCTATTGGGGGGCGACCTGGCTGGAGCAGTGGTCAGAGGACACGACTCAGTGTATGCTAGATATCATCTGGGAATTAGAGGAGGGGCCAGATCCACGACTTGATGACGTCATCAATTGGGGCTAGGCAGATGTGCTGATGTGACGATGCTACAGTCTTTTTGAAGAGGGTGGTGACATGCGTTCTGTGTTGGAGGAGCGTTCGCGCGAGGAGTTGTCAGGGATCGACAACCTGTGTCTGCAATAGAGTAGTGCCCTGCAGGCAAGGCCGCTGACCATTAACTGTCAAAACGATTAGAATAATTCTCTACTAATGAGGGGGCCTGAAGAACAACAACTTCTTCTTCTTTTTTTTCTTTTTTTCTTTTTTTAAGTCCAGTGCAAAACCTGGCGATGAGGCAGCAGAGTGGCGACCGAACATCGGCGCGAGCGCGTTGGGAACACACCGATCGGCGAGTACGGTGGTCGTGTGACCTGAGTCCTCGGTGGTGCCGAGGAGGACGGAGTATGTTGATGCCATCGCCAGGGAGAGGAAGAGTCAACCATAGGTGTTGACGCACAGGCTTTTTCGTGGCGAAACGGGCGGGGTGTGGCACCTCGTAGTTGGCATGCAGAAGGCGTCCTTGCGTGGTGAACAAGTGATGCAGCGGAGTGGCGACCGAACCAACAAGCTGTGAGTTGGCATTGTACGAGAAGTGCAGCAGCTCGACAGAACGGATGGCATATGAGGCGGTCTCGGAGGTGATGGCCTCATCAGAAGATCTCCGACAACAAGCGGAAGTGTGGCTGGCTGGACTGGAGGACACACAAACGCACATGCAGCAAATCGTCAGGGTCTTGGACTCTGTGGCCAGGGCCTGGCCGGTGGCAGATTGGGGGGGGTCTGCCTTGACCGTATGGCTGGAGGTCACGTGCCAGCAACTTTTATCTCTCCTCTGGCAGATCGAGGAGGATCCGCTATTGGAGGATGTCATTGACTGGAGGAAGGCAGAGGTCTTGATAATGGAGTGCAATACGATTTTCGATCAGGGAATGAATTGTCGTGAAGCACTGAAAGAGAGGTTGGCAACTGAGGCACGATTGGATCTCAATCCTCTCATTTCTTTATCGGGAAAATCTGCGCTGACGACAACGGCCGTTGAATTTGTGGCGACCTCACTTGACATGGCAATTCCTACAACAACTTCATCAACAACAACAAATCCTACAGCAACGACAGGTGGAACGCTGGCTATTGCGATATCATCGAACATGCCACCTGTCACAACGACTATAATGTCAACTGCGACTACAGATTCTCCGATATCAACGAAAACCATGTTGGAGGAGCAGCAACAGAGGAGGTTGGACAGATTGAATAGCGAGATCACACTCTGTATAACGGTAACTTAAAGTGGCAGCGGGAGGGTGGTGTGCCCGAAGTGGTGTTAGCCCTCACTTCCAACATACCCTCTCTATCTTCCCTCCTTCCTCTAATTCGCTCTCTGCCCCTGGTGCTTTTCCGCACCCCCTGCTTTGCTTCTGTGGTTGGTGATAACAAGCAGCACCACATCGATTTTGTCCACTGGGCCGTATGTCCACTTGCTCTTCTTTGTACCCGAGTGGCTGGGTAGTACGAAGGGCAGGAGGATGAACCCGCCTGGCGGTTGGGCATGAGGGTCAACAGAGTGGGGTGGGGTGAGCGAGGGCGATGGAGACGAGCAGGAGTGGGCTAGACACCGGAATCGAGGGAGATCAGAACGCCCTCCCCCTTGTAACCATATGATGGGGTATTTTGCGCAAGGGAGGTTGATCCGGTTTGTGCGCTGCTTACTCCTCTTGTCGTTTTTTTCTGATGGGTTGCCATTTAGATTGAGTGGATTGAATTGGATTGATATGGATTTGCAGGGATTTCACGAATTTGGGACCTATTCTCGTCTGACCTGTTTCCTGATTTCATCTGTGCTGATCAGAAATAATTCGCTTTCTAAAAGATTAATTTCATCTCGACGACCGTGTTGACTGATTGGGCATATCCACTTAGGGTTTTGACTGTGACTAGATTGAGTGGATTGAATTGGACTGATAGGGATTTGCAGGGATTTCACGAACTTGGGACCTATTCTCGTCTGACCTGTTTCCTGATTTTATCTGTGCGGATCATAAATCATTCGCTTTGTAAAACATTCATTTCATCTCAACGACCATGTTGACTGATTGGGCATATCCACTTTGGGTTTTGATTATGACTCAGGATGTGCTCGTCTCCCTTCTACCCTGCTATAATTCCCCCCTTTTGTTTTTGGTTGGATTGATCTTCGACGGTTAGCTATAGTATGACAGAATTGGATTGTCAATGGGACTGGGTTAATCCTTCCCTTCCGGGGAAACAATTAATGCTCAGTGCCCATGCTCTATTATCGTTGTCTAAGAAAGCTGTCTCTGCAAGAGTAGTGGCTAAGGCTCTTCCAGCCCTAATGGGAAGAGGCATGTGTTCGCGTTGTATTCAATTTGTAATTTGAGCCTTGGGAATTGGGCCCTCACTTTCCAAAAAAAAACAAAAAAAAGAGAACCACCGGGATTGAGGCTTTGTCTAGTGGGCCGCTCCATCTATTGGTGGGGAGCCTCACCTGCTGGAAACCGGGTTCAGCGTCCCTTAGATACATCTTTCTCTTGTTCACCATTGAGTCTGACACCACAGTGCTGGAAACCGGGTAACGCAATAGTCGGTCGTCCTCTCCAGTGTCCTCCCTGTCACTCATAAGCTACAACACTGCACACAATCTGCACTAGTGCACTCTAGATGCCTACCACAGTGCAATGCACAGACCAATTTAAAATAAATAGCTAATTAATTGGTGGTTGTGTCAGAGACTATACATTCGGGCCCAATAGGTAAGTCAGATTCCTACAAACGATACTATTTTTAGTCCGATTACTCCGCGAACAGAATGCACAATGAACCAAGATAGTTCTAATTATGTTGTCTGTCAGATGTCAAATGGTTGTGCATCTAACTAATCAAAACATAAAAATAGAATCATTTGTGTGGATAGGACAGTATGGAATTTTTGTCAAACTTATCACCTAAGATCTACCCCTCCCTTAGTTCCCCTGAATGTCACTTAACGTCAGCGTCCCTGAGCAATCCGGAGAGCGTTGCATGTCTAAAAGGTGTGTGTTCGGCCCACCCCTGTGCCCCGAGTATCTGCTGAGCTGGCCAGCCCTGCACTGGATTATCCTCGCGTGCAGCGAGCCTTACAATCATCGGATGATCCAGAGACAATTTAACGTCCGCCGCCAAGTGTCATCAGGAATTATTTTACGTCGCAGCAGGACGACGATCATAACCAATGATTTCCCCTTCCGATGTTTATTTAAAGAAGCCCGGTCTCGTCTCCCACTTAGGGTTGGCCTGCCCTTCAGTGCCCATCTAACAACGCAGCAAGCCGAACAAAGGACAAACAACAAAGCATGCGTGCTCTACTCCCGGTGGGTTGGCATGGTGACCGTGACCCAGTGCTTCGTCCAAGGCCCTTCAGAAAGCTCCGCCCATGTTCTCCCAGATGCTCCACGTGAACATTGTCGACTCTCAAGGTTGAGCGCACTCGACACCTCACAATGAGAGGACTCTCAAGAAGGAACACACAACCTCACGGTAAGAAGTGTCGAAGAGGGTAGATAAGGTTAAGAGCAACGTACCTCAAATAGTTGCCCCCAACCACAGAGATAATCTCACCAGATGACCTGATGCCGATTGTGATGACCAGTCATTGCTTCGGCAGAACCAGCATTGCACGCCGTTCCACCTCAGCACCAATCGCACATCAAATAGTTTTCATCACACTGTCCAGATCCACATTACACCACGTAGCCTTCCTGGCGATCCCCTCACCTCCTGGGTCGCCACTCACTTGTCTCCGCCCTCCTCACTACACACCACTTACGGCTGTAGTGGACCTCTGGTTGGCCTGTGAGACCAGCCCCTTGGCCTGTTCTCATAGGCCTGTGTTCAATTCGGGGCAGTCCTGTCCAGACCAGTACCTTTGTCGGTACCAGCCAGTCCAGTCCAGTCCCGTCAGTCCGCTGGGGTATACCCCAGCTGTTGTCTGTTTTCTGTCTCATTTTGCATTCGCACAGTTTGGAGTACGTGCGTTGGAGTCTGGCGTGGGAGCTGCACTGTGCCATCTCGCTCTCCTTCTTCCTCCATCTCTATCTCTGGCGGAGCAGTGAGCACCACACCTGGTGGGTCCGCCACACTGGTATCGGAGCGGGAACGTTCCCCGCTCCCACCCACCACCCCGTACGGCTGGGAAAACAGCAAAACCCGACAGGTGGGTTTTTGGCTGTTTTTAGGCGTTTTTTCGATAAAAACGAGGGGAAAAAGAAGCCGCAGCAGGAAGTGACACGTGGCGAAAAAAGGACGTGCCATCATGAGCGTGTGCGTGCAAACGCCAAGGTCAAGGCCGCCGTACGCGCGCGTGCGCCACGCTGCCCCGCTGCCCCGCTGCCCCGCCCCGCCCCGGTCCCAGATTTATATTTTCAAGATCCGGGATCTTGCTGCCGCCGGGGTTTGAAACCAGGCACCTGCTGGGCTTGCGCGTG